ATCTATTGGTTCCACCATGAATTTATTGTTCTTGGATTGAAAACTATTTAGTAGAAAATTCATTATTAGATTAACTTGTAGTCATTATAAAACAATGATTTTAGAATTTGTCTTCAAGTTTCATTGAGATGAGCATTTAAACCTTATTTATTATTTAATAAAAAAAAATAAATATTTGGCAATAAATTCTTCATATAATTATAAGAATAAGGTCGCGTACTAATAGAAAAATACAGGATATGTTGAATTTTTTAATTATAGAAGTTAGATTTGATGATCATTGAAACCATAAGGTGTGGAAATCGTAATATGAGATACCCAGGGTATTCCTAATATGAAATAACTCATGCTCCTATGTTAAAATCGTTAGTGAAAATCGTTGCTAAAGTATAAATGTTATTGTACAAATAAAAAAAGACAAACAGAATGAACGTCGAGTGCCTATATCTACAATGCTTGATTCCAACTACCTGAAAACGAGTTCTAAGTATAATCTATCGCATGCTCATTTTTCGCGCACGCTAGCTGTGTTTGTTTGTATTTTAGAAACATTAGTTTTTTAATTGCAATACTGATATACTTTGCGTTTCACTATCGATTTCTCAAGGCATCTCATTAGGAGCACAATTTTTTGACTTTGCGATTTGCTCACTTTTTACATTTCTTTATAATTTTTAAAAACAAATGAAATTCGAATTAAATTTTATGTAACGTTATCTAAAAGCTTATTAAATTCCCTTCAAAATGACCTATTATTTTTTTAAATTCTGCCTATAGACTTCTAGCATTTATCCAAAATAAACTCGGTATCTCATAAGGGCCTTTTCTCCCTCCCCCCTCCCTCTCTACACGCGCGCGCGCGTATGTACAATCATAAATATATATATTCATTTTTTATAATTTAAATGCAAAAAATATAATGTCCTCTGATTATAATTCTACAATAAAATTACAATTTCATGGAGAAAAAACAAAAAAATATAACGAAAATTTTTTTTTATAGATTATAGTTCAAATTCATATCTACAATCGAAATTAAAAATTATTTTACGATCTCGATTAAGTCCAATTAAATTTTGTGAAATTTTTAAATTTTTCTTCGCCATGTTCTTGCTATGACTTCTCTTCTTTTTCTTTATTGTATCTTTCTAATTCTTTAAGGAATTGCGCCTTGGGTTTCATGACGTTAGGTCTATCACCGCGACACTTGGGACAAAACCATTTACCCTTAGGTTTTGTCGTCAAAGAAACGCAGGAAAAATGAAACCATTCGATGGGACATAGATCGTTATCACAAAGGATCATCTCGCCGTACGATATCTGATCGCACAGGCAGTAAGTTGGCTCATCGGGATCTATAGCGAGATCATCTTCTGGTGGCGGCGGAGTATCCTCACGATGCTGGTTTTGTTGATTGCCTTGCCGAGATTTTCGCTTCTTCTTTTTACCAGTAGCCGCCGCTGCTGTCTTTTTCTGATTTCCATTAGTTGTATTGGATAATGTCGAAGATCTTGTTTCTGTCATTCCAACCATCATGTCCATAGAATGAGCTGATTCTATCAAGGTTTCAGTTCTTGTTCTTCTTGCACGTTTTGGCTGACGTTCCGAGTTGTTTGCATGGCTCGCATTATTTGAACTGTTGTTTATATTTGATTCACGGACTGATTCTGAGCTTTCTTGTTCCTTTCCAAAGTCTATAAGATGAGAAATAGATATTGATATCTAAAATTAATCAACTTATATCAATTTATTAATGTCAGAAATTTGCAAAATATCATACCTAAATTTCGATAATCTACTTCTAACTGCCTAGATTTATTCTCAATAAGATCTTGCACTTGCTGAACAATCTGTAATTTCTCGTCTCCTATTTCCTGTGCTGCAATTAGAGCTTGCTGTACTTTCATCAATGCTCTTCTTTTCACTATAGGATCTGTGTCATTTCGTAATACCTCTTGTTGTTGATCCACTTCATGTAGATATGCTGTAAAAAAAATCATCAAGACATGGTAAACAACAATATCAACTACGATTTACAGTTACAATAATTATCTCAAAAAACAATGTTAAAAACGTGATCAAAATCCTGAATAAAATGTAATACAACTTTTTTTATTTCTTCAATCTACAATTGAAAGGTCTTCTCACAGATTTCAATACTGTTGCTGATATTTATTATTTTTCTAAGTTTGAATAACACAAATGTTCAAGAAACAGTCCAAGGAAATTTAAGTTACTTTGAATAATTTTTATTGCGCTGTCTAAAACATATTATATTTATAAATCATACTAATATTGTATAAAGCTATCAAAGATCTCTGCAAATTGTAAATAGTGTAAATGATCCAGTATATGTCTATCGGAAAAAGCAATGTGGAAAATCTACTAGAAATCACAAAAAAGCAACGAGTATTGTTGGACCGATTATTGCTCCAAAAGAAACTTTTAAAATTCGATCGAACTTACTTTGACAAGTAGCATCGAGCTCTCGTAATCGGGAGACGTGCCTCTGCAAGTCATTTGGCAGATTTTCCACGCAATCCAAATAGTTTTCGATATAGGTCGCTGAATAAAGTGCTTCGACCACTGCCTGATTTAACATCGCCGCGTCGCCGTTCCCTTCTTTTTTCCTTCGGCCTTTTTCGGTGATGTATGTACAACAAAACCGTCAAAGCAACATGAAATAACAGCCGGGGCTCCCAAACTTCTATATGTTGAAGTTGATCCCCGTCGCCTCCGTTGGTTTGTGGTGCCACCTGAAGTGAGTCTGTCAAAAAGGAGGAACTAAAAATCAATATGGCGTTAAGCCGCCATATCATTTAAATGTGTCATCTAGAGTGAACAAGGGTATCGATTTTCTAACTTTTATCATGGTGAAAATGTGAGTCATCTCACATCGCGTGATTCCCTAACCGTCATCATGATGCAATTGCAAGCAATCTCACGGGAGTTCGTTCGACAAGAAATTTCTTGTCGAATGACGAGATCCGAGAAAGAAAGACTGAAAAATAGAGCGAAAGAGGAACTACAACCGACTGAATTGACAATTTTAAGGTTAAATATGTAATTTTGCACAGTCCAAAGACAAAAATAAAATCAAATAGCAATATACATGGTAGCAATTTTGTTGCTGCATGAAGAGGGTGAAAAGACTTTTGAACCACATATATGAAAATTACACGAAGAATACTTAGAGATATTCATTTTCAACAGGATTGACTTTGTAAATAATGGTTGTATTGTAAATAAAAATTTTAAATAAAAATTTTCAACAGGATTGACTTTGTAAGCTATGCTTACGTGCGAAAAGTTATGTATTACTTTGGTTATGTATCACTCACATCTGTGCAAAATGCGAATTTCATTCTCGTGAGCATAGCGATATTATATTTTCACTATGCTTACAGCCAATCGCGCGTATTTTTTTACGTAAGATGAAAGCGCGAGAAGTGAGAATATTCAGCGATGATACGCAATCGACCCTCAGAACAAAAGGAGCCAAAATTTCTTTGTCCTTATTGGTGAAATTTTAATCTTTAATCTTTAATCTCAATCTTCAATGCATAGTCTGATTTCGGCCTTACGCTATTAGCGGAGAGCACATACTCTTGCATAATGCATAACACATAAGGCATAAGAAAATGAACCAAAGTGCTTTGTTTCCTTTCTTTCCGTAAAATAAAGGACTCTTGATTTTCTTATGCCTCATGTTTTATGCGTTACGTAAGAATCTGTGCTTCCCGCTTTAGGGCCATTCCATACAACTTGCATAGCCGCACAAACATATGCATAAAGAAAATCATCCAATCGTATTTTATGTTTGGCTTTATGACAGAAATGTGATTGGATAATTTTCTATATGCATATGGTTATGCGGCTATGCAAGTTGTGTGGAATGGTCCTTAGGGGTCATCTAGGGCTGTAGTCAAAGTCTCGCTACAAATGATTTGAAGCGTATGATGGACCAATTAGAAGAAAGAATTTTACAAACTGACCAATTAAAAGTTGCTTTAAAGCGTTTGCAGCATCGTGTTGACGGTACTCTAGATAAAACGGTTTTAGTGAAGAGCGTTGAACGCTGGCTTTGTTTACGGCGGAGTGGGAAGTCTTCGCCAGCAAAGCTTTGCTGCGTGAAATTGTACTTCTAAAGAAGTTGAATTTGTCTAACAATTAGCGTCGTCGCTAAATCTTTGTTAACCATTCCGATTTGAAATAAAAAATGGACTCTGACGTACGTAAAATATTAATTCTTACATCTTCTATATTTTGCGATTCAATAATATCGTACAAACCAAATCTATCTTAAATTTATATATATTGTGATCTTTCAATTTTACAAGGACTGAAAGATTATAATTAGTTAAAACATATGAAAATTAGAGGTAACAATAACAACACTAACAAATTAGAAATATTTTACAAATATTTGTAGTATTAAATTTAATATATTTTTTAGAATGAATCCCTTAATCTCGTACAAACGTGCGGGTTATGTGAAATGATCTGCGAACAAGCAGAAATTGGGAAACATGCTTGTTTAAAAGGCTATACACAATACATAACTGAACCTGATACATTATATTTTTATCCTTTATTAGGTAAATTAGATCTTATAACTGTTATATATTAAAAGTTAAACATTTTATTGTATTTATTATTTAATATATATTTTTATTTATTATTTAATTTAATACATATTATTTAATACTTTATAGATGATGGAGTGACTGTAATAAAAAGCAGAGTGTCAAGCATAGATAAAAAACAAATAATAACAGTGCAATTACCCAAGAAAAATACAGGTAATAAACTTGATAATAATTGTTTCAAAATAATGTGAAAATCTTTTTTATTATTTCTAATGTATTTAATATATGTTTCTTTTGTATTTAGATTTTGTTATGCCGATACACTTATCTGAGCCAAATTCTTGTGAGAAACGAAGAAATTCAGATGAAGGCTTAAAAACAAAACTTAGTCATGATGATGAAGAAACTCTCATTTTAGAAGTTCAGTTACGAGAGCCTCTTTGGAATTATAAACTTCCATTATCACAACGCAACTTAAAAATTACAAAAAAATTATGGCAAGAAGTAGCAAATGCTTTAAATGGGAAAATTACAGTCAATGAAGTCAAAACAAAATTTAAAAGCTTACATGATACATACCGACGAATAATTAGATTAGAAACAAGCGCCAGTGCTCGAAAAAATGGAAAGAAATGGCTTCATTATGATTCAATGGAATTTTTACGAGATTCTTGCTTGTTGAAAACGTAAGAATTATATATTTTATATAAATGATGACAAAAATAGTATAAGTACTAAATCAAAGGACTCTTTCTATATAAACTAAATGACAATAAGTAACAGGCAAAGTAAGAGTCAACACGTTTCTTTAAAATTAACAAAAGAATATATTTCAAACCACAAAGGCAAAATTATATAACGTTACAAGTTTCGGCTCCAGGATTGAGCCCTCTTCAGACATTAGCATAACGCATAAATCGCAGAACAACAACAAACATCGGAAAACATGGAAAACAAAAAATTATATTGGCGACGCTGTGTACAGAAAGTTATATTGTAGTGACGGATCACTTCCGAGAGTCTATGGATTGCCGAAGATTCATAAACCTGGCTGTCCTCTAAGGGTTATCGTCTCTTCGATGGGTAGCCCGCTGTATTCATTGGCTACATATTTGCATAACATATTATACAAATCCATTCCCAAAGCGAATAGTTACATTAAAAATAGTTTCGAATTAGTCGATAAATTAAAAGGGTTACACATTACAGATGAATACAAATTAATTTCATTGGATGTTAAATCTTTGTTCACGAATGTTCCAATGGGGATATCGGTCAACTGTGTCGATGAACAGTGGGATTCTATTTCCAGAGATTGCCCTCTTTCCCAGGGAAGAGTTTCTGGGAGCGATAAAGTTTATTCTCGACTCCACATTTTTTTCATTTAACAATGTAATTTATAGACAAAGCTTCGGCACTCCCATGGGCTCTCCTTTATCTCCTGTAATAGTGGACTTGGTGATGAGGAGACTTGAGACAGTGTCCTTGATGTCGTTGGACTTGGAGGTAGTATTTTATTTCAGATACGTGGATGACATTTGCACTGCGGTTGTTCCCTCGAAAATTGATTCGGTATTAGAAAAGTTTAACTCATTCCACCCGCGTTTGCAATTTACTTCTGAAGTGGGGGGAGACAAAATTAATTTTCTAGATGTTACCATATCTATTAATGAGAACGGGTTTGGTTTTGACTGGTACAGTAAGCCGATCTTTTCAGGGAGATTTCTGAATTTTAATTCTAACCATCCTATGGCACAAAAGAGGGACGATTCTTTCACTGGTTGACAGAGCCTTTTTTCTATCTTTAGACTTTAGGTTTCATACACGGAATTTTACGTTTATTATCAACATTTTATTAGACAATGACTATCCACTGTCCTTCATTTTTGACACAGTCAATCAACGTATAAAAAGTTTGATTAGAAACAGACACACAACACATAGAGTTTTGGCTGACAATGACAGGGAGAATGAGTCTGTTTCTTGGCTTACGGTGCCATTCATCCCCTTCCACACGGAGAAATTCAAACGCTTCAGAAAAAAACGACATCAGGGTATCTTTCCGTAGTCTCAATAAACTGAACAAATATATCAAAGTACAGAAAGATATTTGTCCATATACTTCGAAAAGCAATGTGGTCTACAGGATTTCGTGTGAAGATTGTGATGCTTCGTGGGACAGACGAGCAGAAGATTGAAAACCAGGATTGCTGAACATCGCAATCACATTAGATACAATACTTCTGGGCGTTCTGTCATAACTGAGCATAGGAGACAGCTGGATCACGAGTTCCAATGGGACGAAGTCGTAATTTTGGACGAGGAGCCTTGTTACCGGAGACGTTTGGTTTCCGAGATGCTCAATATCAAAAAGCAGAAGAATGGTCTGAATTTACAGACTGACACCGATGGCCTTCACAAGGCTTACATCCCCATCATAAATAAAGTTTGACTTTCTGATGCTAACAGTTTGTTTCCTCACTCAGTCTGTTTTGATCCGCACTGCTGAACATACATAGTGGCCGTCGTGCGATGTCTGTCTTGCACAACTGCGTTCTTTCTTTCGAGATATATTCAGAAAGTTCTTTGTTCACTTTGGACACACTCGTTTGTATTGTTTTTTTTACACATGATTTCTGGTGAGTTTTGAGTATTATTTTTTATTATTATTTTTATTAGATTTCCGGTATGTTAATTCATTTACGCGTAGATCTTTTTGTGTACAGTTTTGTTGAAGTTTTTCTTCTTATCAACTAGAGCTTTGCCAAAATTTTCAATACATTTGATGGTTCAACCATACAGAAATAATGTCGAAACTCTACATCAAGACTCACCCGAACTGTGAATGATATGAATGTATGATAATTTACGATGTTTGTTGTTGTTCTGCGATTTATGCGTTATGCTAATGTCTGAAGAGATTTTTGATCACATTTAAATATAATATCCTATTGTAAAACCTGCATAATCAAAACTTGTGTGATCAAAAATTAAGTATTTTAATATGTAGATCTCAGAAATATTCTTTTTTTTAGTATTATGTAACTATATGTTAACATTGAAAATGATCTGAATGTATTGGTCGAAACATTTGTTACATTTATATAGATCAACTTGCTATTGCACTCTTAACCC